AAGACATTATCCTCTACATAACTTGTTAAAACCAGCATGCCAGGTCTTAAATTCAAAAGAGTTGCATTCTGTCCCAGATACTTTGCTTAGAGCTCTTCCAATTTGACCCGTGCAGTCAACAGCGCCTGAGTAACCATAGCAGCATATTTGAACAATGCCAAATACTTGTGAACAGACGCCGGAAAACTCAGAAGTGGAACACACAAAGTGCCAATCTGTGAGAAGCAGAAGAGCCGCTACCAAAAGCGGTGGAGCTGCTGACAAACCAGCAGTTAGAGCTGCTCTTTGCCAAGGTCACAACAGGTGAGCAGAGCACTGACCCATCTCACAACTAAGATATCCAGTATACAGAAGTAAAACTGGAAACCAAACCAGCTCTGCGTTGTTTGGAACCACCACCATACTCACCTGGAAAGTTTTGATCAGTTCCTTGGAAGAGCTCTGTAGATGCCAGCTACCCCCATAAGTCCCCAGAACATCACACTGACTTGTTTTCCAGTTATATTAAATGGTAGGTAAGGCAGAGAGGTATTTACCTACTGCATCTATCCCTGGAGCTGGCTTCTAAGCTCCAAGACCTTTGAAAGCATTGAAAAAGCTAATTAAAGCATTCTCATAAATAATTTGATCTCTTAGGAGGAGATGTACTCCCTACACAGTAACAGCTTTCTGTAATGGGAAAAAAAAAAACAAAAGATCATTTGCCAATGCAGATCTGTATTTTATTACAAGTGTTTATCAACCATTTATAATTGGTCACAAGGATAGGAAAAAAAAAAAATAAGGTAATATAAAAAGAGAATCTCTAATCTAAAATAGAGCACCTTCCTGCAAACCGCTTCATCACTGCAAAGCAAACCTACGTCTGTTCTGCTTTGCCGGTCACAAATATCTCCCCAGAGAAATCTCACAGCAAATTAAGAGCCAGAGCACACTGCTCCTCCCAGGAGCTCTCTGCTGCTGCTGGGACAGGAGGAGGATGTGTGGGACAGCCTCTGCCCAGCACTGAGCCAGCAAAGGCTGCTGCCTGCTCTGAGCCCTCCAGGGTAGTGGGGAAAAGCAACTGCGTACTGCAGGAAAAGAGGAGCTGTGTCTGAGACCGCAGCAGGGCCGCATGGCAGGCTTCTCTCTGCAAAGAGGCAGCAATCAGCAAGAACCACGGTCAAACAGAAAGCTCTAAATCACCTGCATGCCCAGTGCTGTTACCCAGGAGGCTTTAACATAGTCTTTTTAACACGACGATGTTCTTTAAATGGTTTCCTTTTCTCCACTGGGATCAGGAGGGCAACTTTTTATTGTGGAGATAAGCCTGGGTGACCAGCCCCACCACAATGGAGTAATGATTTCAAGCTGACCATAGAATGTTTTCTATTTTTTCATTTTAAATACAAAGTAAAAGGCTTCTAATACCTTAAAAAAACACCTTCTAAGAAATACTCATTCATTTCTCAATTTCTAACCATTAATCTTAGCAACCCCTGCAGAACAAACGGTGGGCACAGCTTAGCGCTCTAAAAGCGCAGCAAAGAACTGCAAAAACATCTGTTACCCTGAAAGAAAAGCACACACCGTGCCAGCGATGCCAGAGACCCAACCCTGCAGGAGGAGCTCTGCTCCCTGCAGCCCCACACAAGGCTGGCCTGCAGTAATGGATCAGTTGGGCCGTGGCAATGCTGCTCTGCACCCTTCATGGCACAGCTCTGGGCAGGAGCCGTGCTGCTGGCACAGTGGGTGCTGGGGCCACCTCTTGTGAAATTCCAGAGCTCCTGCACAAAGCAAAGCCCCCCAGCAGCACGGAGCATCAGGGAGCGTCTGCAAAGCACGGCCTTCGCTCAGCCCAGCACTCCTGCTGAGGAGGAAAGGACCTCTGAGCGCCTGGTGCAAATGTACACTTTTCTAAGTGCTCATAGCCAGGGGCGCAATTAATTCCATTCTTTCCAAAAGATTGTCAGCTCTGAAAAACTCATGTATTATTTAAGCCTCACAGCTAAACTACCAACGTTACCAACGTCCGTTTTTCTTCTTTACACACAAGATAAAAAGAGTTCTGGTGAAAGACCTATACAGAAAGTCCCCTACAACTTGCAAAACCCACAGGTTCCCTGCACCAAGAGCCCTTTCATTCCTGCAGTGACTTTAATGGCACTCTCTCCATCAGCAGATCTCCAGTCAGTGGCAGCCACTGCTGCGCCTGCTCTCAGGTTCCTACAGCAGCATCAAGGGAGCATGATCAGTGGCCAGCACCTCTGCCAGGCTGTCTTCTTCTTTATCTGCAAGATCCAAGCTTCCTTGGGCGACGATGCCACAGAGAAAGGCTGATCTCCCCTCTCAAGCTTAAAAGCTGATAGTAACTACATAGTAACCCGCTGAAAAATCCTCACACATGAAGACAGATGCCATCAGAGAACCAGAAATAAACCCAAACTGTAATGGCATGACCAGATTTTGCAGAGCAATGGTTATTCTGACTGAGGAAGTGCCACCTTCAGGCACCCAACCCAGTGCAACCGCTTCACCACCGGCCCACAGCTCACCTCAGGAAACACCCCAAGCAAAAACGGCTCTCAGGGACAAAACAGACTCAGCTGCTCCTCTGTGATCTCACATATTCGACCACTGTAGAAATGCGGACAAAAACAGGGGCAAAGCTTCATTGGTACAAATTGCTGTTGTCTTCCTTGCCCTCCTGAGACCTAAACTAAGGATTTAATGAGCAGGCGCAGTGCAGGAGCCACCATCCGCACAAAGGAGCTTCTCCCTCTCACAGCTGAGGTCCTCCTCCCCTCCTCAGCTCTCAGCCCTAGAGAGATAGCAAGCATGCAGCCAAACAAACTGCAAACATACAACACGATCTGCTTTTTAATGGCCAACCAGCCAAACAAACAAAACAAGCATCCTCAAAGGAATGTATCCAAATCCTCCACCCTCTGTCACTCAGCAACCATTAAATCCATACAAGCAATAGTGCAGCGTAGAAACCAGCTGACCAGCAGCTACTCCTGCCTTGCAGCCAGGCCTGCCTGGCTCACAGCCCCCAGGATGCTGACCTCTCAGGGTCACCCACACGCTCTCAGCAATCTCAGTCTCTTTTCCAACAGAAATAGATTTTCTAGAAATCAGAATTGCCACACGTTCCAGGTGCTCCAGCTGTCACTCAGCTTTTCTTAAGTTATTACTTCTGTGTATTCAGAGCAGTTTGGGAATGAAGGTTGTCTTGTCACTTCCACACACTAATGGAACATGGCAATACTTACTCCAGATTTGCCATCTGCTAATAAATGCATACAAACCACGTGATCCCCAGAACGTGGAGCAGCAGAGTAATTGCAATAGATTTCCACTGCAAGATAAATAATCAAAAAAATATCTTTTTTCTTCTGTTTAATGAAAAGCTAGTATTGCACCAAAGGTGAAGACACAGAGTAAATACATATATATATTTAAAAGATTTCTTAGTTGAATACACACTGCCCAGCTTTAGCTTTTACTAAGAGGCAGCACCTATTGAAAAAAAAAAAAAACAGAACCACAAAACCCTGCCTTCAAATCCCCACCATCTCAGTTATGTAATCAGTCAAACAACAACATGGGACTAAGTTGCTTATCTCGAGCAGAAAAGATCCATCTGAGCTCCAGGTCAGGTTGTAACAGGATGAATGTCCCCGCACGCCCTCTCACCCAAGCACCTTGACGTACCTTGGAAGAAAGCAACTATTTTTAGCAGCCATTTCCACATCCAAGAGAAGCTCTGTTACATTCCCCTGTGCTCAGGTCCTCCTCATGGCCTCCCCAGCACAGGCAGGGCAGGATGCAGAAACTCATGGCCAGCTGTGCTCACTGCTCCCCACCCAGCAATCACAGCTCACAAACACTCCAACCCAGCTGGGGTTTCCAGGTGTTTGCTGTTAGCCAGTCCCAACAGCAGACCTAACACTGGGAGTGGGTTTGAATAACCCTCCAATAAAAGATAAACACAGCCAACCATGCTTGCGTGTGCAAAAGTGCAAAAACCCTCTGCTAGCAAATAAATCCCAACACTGAAGCAGTGTTAATGACAAAGCACTTCCACCTGCAGGCTCACAGCCATGCAGGAAAACCTCCACGACAATTTCACCAGCATTGCACCCTCTCAAGAGCAGAAGAGAATCTGCAAAAAGCCATTCCCTGAGAGGGCAGCCCTCAGTATGTGTAAAGCCAGACTTCAGTTCTGTCGGTTCTGAAGAACAAAATAATCCCCAAGACCATGGACTGACAGGGAGACCGATGTTGGCAGGGAGGCCAACGCCAGTGCTGCTCTCTGGCCCATAAGATGTCAGGAGATGAGAACAAAACGTTGCACCACCCCTGCCTTTGGGACGTAAAGCATTGGGACACGGCGGCGTGTTGGTCTTGCAGGGGCAGGAAATGCCAGCACTGCTGTGGGGACTTGTTTTTTAAACCAATCCAAATGAGATCTTTGAAACCTGATGGTGTCACGTTCTGCAGAACCCGCAGACTCTCCATGGCTGGCAGCACCGCGGCTGCAGCCGGTCGCTCTCAGACTGAGCGCCCTCAGCTCGTTCACCCACCCAGCAGAGCACGTGCCTTGCTGCCAGACCTGCACAAATGCAGTGCCTCTGCTACCACATTCTGATGGGCGATTTCACCCTGCTTGTTGACCTCACAGCAGTTTGGGACCCTCGCGCCGCCTCCAACCAGCACTGTGCCCAGCAGCAAACTTCTAGCCATCTCTCACACTGGTAACGGCCACCACCCGTGTGCCCACATCAACCCCAACCTCAGCAGCAGCCAGCAGGCACAGGGGCTGTGACACCCACACCCAGGCTTCCAGCTCCAGCAGCTCCTTTTGGCCAAGACTGTGACTTAGGACACGTTGAGAATTCAGGTAACCTCAGAACAGGTCTGTACCGTTAGCAGCCTCCAGAAATATTAGCAGAACCCACAGCAATAATGAGAAAGAACATTCAGTGTCTTATGTGACTCCACAGTAATTAAGAGACTCATTTTACATTGCATTTTAATTAAAAGTTGGTTTGTTTTTTGTTGTTTTTTTTTTTTTTTAAGAACAGCATACTACATATTAATGGAAATATGTAACTTCAGCCTACAAATGGGACTGTCACCATCTTATTCTTACAATTCAAACATATGAAAAATAAAATATGATATTTAGCTATATAAATTCCCCCACCCTTTTAAATTATTTTTCTTTTAAATAACAAAAGTATTCACTCTTTCCCAGTACAGTGCATTTGCTATCTGCGAGCCACAAACTAGTAGTCACATCGATGCCAAGGAAATAGCAACACTGTTTGCAAAATATTTAGAGAAAATTAAAAGATATTGCATTCAGCCCAGCGCTTACAAAAGAGACAATCAGCAAGAATTGAAAAACCAGCACATTTTACATAGGACCATTATAATAACATAGAAAACAGCGCAGAAGACTTATGTTGGAAAAATATAGTGATTCTCAGCAAGCAGAAACTGAACTTTGGCACTTGCTCATAAAAAGGCCTTTCAAAGCAAAACAGAACAGAAATTCACTTATCCACAGCTCGTATATTTAAAAAAAAAAAAAAAAGAAAAAAAGACAAGGAATAAAGCAAGAGAAACAATAGAGAAAAGTTTACAGGCCAGGTCACTGCAAATTCAGTACATTCACCTACAGAAGATACAAGCACAATCCTTCATCCAACCATCTCTCCTGGGATCCTGGCCAGGGAAAGACAGGCTCTGGGACAGAGCCCCACCTACAGCTTCTCTGCTTCCACGGAGCCACGCTGGCCACAGCCCCATCTTCACATTGAACAAGAATTGCATTTGTCAGATAACGTTGCCTCCTTATCACAAAATAAAGATTTCTGATCTGAGAATTAAGAAGCAAGACTGTTGCACTCAGACAGTGGCTGTTCTGCTCTACTCACAGTTGCACATAATCACTGAAATATAAGGATTAGGTGATTTCTTTAAAAAGGGCTAAAAAAGAATGGCTTCAATTCAAAGGGGAGACAATAGACTGGAAGGAAGGGCTCCCGTTTAGCCTGTTAATCTCAGTGCTTTGTCAGCCCACACATTACCAAAAGGAGTACCAAAGTGAACCTGTGCAAGGCTGCTCCCCAGCCCTGCCAGGAGAACTGGTGCCCTGTAGCAGGGCCTGAGCCAAAGGCAGCTCAGCCCAAAGCATGTTTTTGGATCAGGCCCTAAGGAAGGAAGGGCTGCTCTAACCAACGAGTGCTTCTCCCATTGTCGGGCCCAGTGCCCCAGAACAAACAGCTTTTTATTATTTTATTTATTCATTTTTGTACTGAGGCCATTTATTCAATTTATTTTTGAGGAGTTACGGAAGGGCAGAGAGAAAAACCAGTGCTTTATATCGCACAGGAGATTGTCCTACTAAAAGGGGGCACTTGATGGGAAACACTTGCAGCTACAAATCTAGCAGACGCTCTTCACATGTCTCCACAGGCCACTTAGTTGCACCTCCAAACACATCCACGTTGTTATCAACCCAGGGGATGATGTTGCCAGGCATGTTGGTAGAGCAGTTAGCAATATTCATGATGTCTTCAGCTTTTAATACCCTGTCCCATATATTGAACTGGCTCATCTCCCCAACGAAGGCTTGAGTTGCATCAAATCTTCCTCCAACTGTGTCCTTTAGGCACACAAGAATCAGGATTAGACGAGAAGGTTATTTCAGTTATTTTTTTCCACCAAACTTGCAGACCCTCCCACCCGCTGCCACCCTGCTAGAAGGAAGAACAGAATTGCACTGAAGAGCACCTTCAAGCTTCTGGAAGGACCACTGTGAACAAGATGTTATTCTGTGAAACAGTTAAAAGCCCCAGTCTGAAATGGTTTAGATCAGCGCAAACAGGAGTAACTGCGTATCTCCACACAAGGGCACAACAGTCACTTGCAGTTAGAGCTACACTTCACTAGCCCTGCCCCCAAGCAGTGCAGCAGGAAGGCAGCTTTAGATACCAAGTCTGACTTAGGATCCATTTTGCAAGCTTGGCACAAGAAAGCTTCAGCAAGAGCTACACTCAAAGCTTTACAGTTAGAGATTAAACTGTAACTGCAGCACTTTGTCAACTGTCCACGGGGACCACAAGATGGGATCTTTGGCTCTGGATACAGAGCTTCAGCTGGCTGAACCTCGTGAGTAACTCCAACTGTTACTGCACAAGCCTGAAGTGTTTGTTTGCTCAACTTGAAGACCAAAATCACACTGACAGAAAACTGACAGCATAGGACAAGGCCAAGCACTGCACAGGAAAGTGGTAAAAGAGAGTTACAGAAAGATTGCCAGCCATTTAATAGTAAGCTGGAGCATCTGCTATGTCAAGTGTGTTAGGATTCTGATTTACCGTTGTGTCACTTATGTCATGGATAAAGACCCACTGAAATCAGCACCAGGACAAAATCAATTCTTCACTGTCTTGCCCAGCTGTGAACTTCAAAATCCTGGATAAATAATATTTTCTGATATGTATTACAAATCAATGTAACACATAACAAACCAAAAAATAGAGAACAATGTGAACAGAGCCATGAATTCATGGGCAATAGATTAAAGAGATGTTAACTAGATGGAAGATTGAAAATCCCTTGCTTTTTTCCATATTCAGAAGTGACTCATCCTCAATTTCCTAATTGCGTTCTGTTGGCAATACTAATACCTAAGCTTTCTTAGCATTTGCATTTGGAGAGTTATTTACTTTCACCTTTAATGAGAAACCAAATACATGATGTAGAATTCAAAACTTTGACTTCAGATTCATCTTTAAAGTAGATACCAACTTCTAAGTTAGTCATGAATTCCACTATTGTAAAGATATGGTATGTTACGTACCTAAAAGCCATACAATTCAGCCTAGAGGGAATTCTCCCTAGAAAGTGAATCTATAAAAGATCCTGATAAACCCACATACTCTCCAGTTCCCACTCTTGCTGGTCTGCTCATCCCCATAAATTTTCCTTCGTCTAGTCTGAGGCTCTAGCACTGACATCCTGACTATTCTTGGGATAACGGGGAGGTGGAGGGAGAGAAAAATAAACAATCAATCAATCTGTTAAGGGGGATGGCCAATTTGGCTTCAATTAAAAAAAAAAAAAATGGAAGCAAGCATGATCTGCTTCAGGAAGCTCCTTTTAAAATGTTACTTTCTGTAACTTCAGGGGCTACATTGATAGCTGTCAGCAATCCAGCTGAAAGAACTTCATTTAAGGCATTATGCAGCTGCACTCTGCAGCATTTAGAGTGGAAATAATTTCCAACACGAATATTCTGAATATTTATTACTGAAACAAAACTTCAGTGTGATTATACGAAGTTTCTTTCCTTTCATCTTTTAGATAGCACATATACAATCAGACCAATCATTTAACAGTTTTTCCTCACAGCTGTATGTCTGGAGAGTCTTAATTCTCCTTATTTTAATCGGGCCTTTTTCTTTGTTTTTGTTTTTCTTCGTTTTTGTTTAAACAAGCCACACACACCAGTGGAACTCAGTCACTCACATACCTGCTCCTGACCCAGGATCAAGACACCTCCAGGTTTAATTGGGTGCCAAGGGGCAAGATTCTCTCCAGTGCCAAGCTTCTCTCCATCCTGAAAAGCCTCCCACATTCCATCTCTTGTTGTCCATGTTATACAGATATGATGCCATTTTCCATCACTAATGAAGAGAGGAAGCTGGGCAACCTTCAAAAACAATAATAGTAATAATTCTGAAGAATACGGAATGCTGCAAACCAAGTCTGTCAGTTCAAGCACAACATTTCTAAAAGGCCAGTATCTATCTACCATCTGCACAGGCATAAATGTCAGGAGCAGATGCTACTTCACCTTCTCCTACTTTGTCCTAGCAGTCTTGTCTTCAGGAATTTACTTAAATCTCACTGCTTAACCCTAACTTTCCACCCAGTGTCCACACGTTAAGTTTCTCTTCGGGTCTAAGGTTTGTCTGCACCATTTGCAGTAAGAACTCTGACTTACAGAGAGGACTGCTTCCAGTAGAGCTCAGGGAAGCTATTATGCAGGGATTATGCTCCCTTAGGACTTTGAGCTAAAAACCTACCCAAGTCAAAGACACAAATGCAGTGGGCTACAAAGCAGCTGTGATGTGGGAGGGAGAAAAACATAGCAGAACATTAGTACAACCAACATGAGAAAAAACTGGTAAGACGAGCATGCTCACATCTCCTCTTCCAGAAGCCATTACAAACAACCTGCTTTTCTTTGTATTGATTTGGTGGGACTGTTACAAGTCCTTAACTTGCCACATGACTGAACCAGCCGGGTTGCCCTGTAAAGCTGTAAACACCCAATCCCTTGGAGAGCAGTGAGTTACTAGGAAACCTAGCGGGCCAAAGAAAACAAGGAATGGTGCCTGAAAGCAAGCTGTGCTACAGTGCAGCCTGGGCAAAGTTAAGAATCAAGTCTCACTCACAGGGATTCCAACCCAGTCACTGCTACCAGCAGTTACTTACATTTTGTGACAAACCCAAGCTGAGAGTGAGGAAAAAGGGAGTATTTGATTAATTGTCATTTTCTGTATTAAGACAAAGTCTTGAAAAGTTACATTTAAACTGATGTTCAGTCACTAAACATTATAAAACCAGCAACAATGACATGCCTTTTGTTCTCTGCTTTCTGCCTGTGTAGTCTTAGCATAACTGAACCCGTAGGATTATAGAGATAAAAATACTGCAGTTGGCTTAGATCTCACAGGTGTCATAGTAGTGTGGCTTCAAATACTGCTTCTGTTCCTTAGAAGCAAACAGAGGGTTACAGACACAAGAAGCCGAGGCCTGCTGGTAACTCCAGAGGTGCACAGCTCCCTGTCATGCCCACGCAGTGCACAAAGACGTGCACCATTTGACTTTGTTGAGAGCACTTCTGGTCACGACAGATGGGCAACAACAGAAAAGCAGGCACAGCTCTAGAGCTGGCTGCCTCACAGGGAGCCAAGAGTTCTGAGAGGTACCAAGGGCTCAGGCCTAGAAACACCAAGTGTTATTTTGAGCACACAGATGAATAAAGGAGCTAATTGATTCTCACCTTATCGTTAATTAGCAGTTCAATCGGATTATTCCCCCACTCTATGAGGACAATTTCATTAGCTTGACCAGGAACAGCATATGAGAACGGAGTGCCAATTCCAGGAGAAGCACTTGATCTCAGCCATAAACATACAGTGAAAGCATACAGCTCTGGCAGAGTCTTCTTGATCTTCCCATACAAGTAGTTGGTGCGAAGAGGAAGGGACACTTTGAACTCATCAGGTGATTTGAATGCACTGTTACCTAGAATGACATTGAGGAAGAAAAGCCTTTAACGCAAGACAAAACAACGTATATGTAATTAAAGTTAGGAAAAAATATGATTTATATTGAGAATCTTTAATCTTACTTTAGAGAGGGTACACAAAAATATACTGAAGCAGTATTAGCAAATGTTGATTCTACAGCACAGTTAAAATACAACTAGATTTTATATACAATGTGCTAATTACTTAGCTTATTTTTCCTGCTTGCTCAGAGCAAAATATCGGATGGCACACAACTAATGAGAAGCTATTAAATATTTTTCTTTCTTCATCACTCAGCTCATGGCTAGAGGCCTTCTTATTTCACACAATTCAAACTGTTTTAAAAGATATTTATTGCTACTGAACAAGGAATCTGTGGTACACTCATTATTAAAGCATCACAGCATTTCACAACCAAATCCTCTTTTCCTAATACTCCCACACAGGGAGCCAGCAGCAGTACCCCCATTTTGCACGTAGCTGGGCTGAGATAACAGGTTGAAGCTCCCTTTCTGGATGGCCAGTCTGAAGTAACAAGAATGAACACATTCCATAAAATAGAGTTACGTTTAGTAGGACAGATTTCCACCCCAGAGACAAAACCTGTTCTGGAGAGCTGAACCAAAATATAAGGCTGAAGTTCAAAGTGACCCAAAGAAAAATGTGACAGGAAGTTGAGAACTGCCAAAACATGGGACACCGATGTAGCTACCTGCAAGTAATGTTTTAGATTTAGATATATTCACGAGAAGAGAGAAATCCCAAATTGTGTCATTAAATAAAACCCTACAGTTCTGCAGTAGAGCATCAACTTCAACCTCTTAGCTACTTGTTCTTCTGATCCCCACCCATCTTTACCCGTATTCCTGAAACAAACGACATCCCCTGCCAAATTTTCACTCCCATCCAAATGAAGAGCTGCTGCCACAAAAGGTTGCCACAATTTTTATATGAAATTTTCAAACTGTTGGCACTCTGTCAGTTCCCATTCTCAGAAGTGGAAGTGTTGTGACTGTATTTTTTCACAAAAAGAGTGGGTGGAAGAAGAAAGAGCTCTTTCTTGAGGAACTTACAGATATACCGAATTTATAAGCAAATAAAAACAGGATCTTAGGGCCAACGTTCAGCAATCTCCACTAGGATGGCACAGCCTGTCTCACGTATAATAGAAAATGTACTCCATTGAGAGCATTAGTCACTGTCTGGAAGAGCTAAAGGAAGCAATAATAGGTTGGTAAAGAATAAAAGTATAACCAAGATGAACACACACAGCGAAAGACAGTCCTTGCTCTAAAGAATCTCAATTAATTTTGAACAAGAAGGACAACAGTCATTCCATTTTAGAGGGATTTAGATTTAAAACACAGCAAGTGACTTGTCCATGTTTCCAGCAGCACTGCACACCACAGTTCAGGTCAGGTACCACCAGTTGCAGGACCACTCCTCCCCTCAGCCCTTCTTTTTATCGCATCACGTACTGCAGTAGCAGCAAACAACAGGCAAAGAAATGACCAGAAGACTTTGGCAATCGTGGCAGCCGTGTGAACCTCGAGCTCCTCTGCCCCACCGATACACACCACTTCTGTCACAATTACATACAGAAACCCAAAGTTCGTGCAGCCACCTCAGAAGGTCAGTACTTCTCCATTCACCTCCCTTCAGGACAGCCGGGAGCTTATGGCACGCTCATTAGCCGACTGGAACAGATGCTAGAGAGTATGTCATTTACAATGAAAGCACAGGAGAAATCCTATTTTTAGGAGACGTCAGATCACAATAAACATTGACTTCGTGCAGTCTACAGATTGATGAAGTTCTTAGATCGTTATTACCCTCACTTTGGTTTGACTGAGGAGCCAAAGGCACAGAAGAGCTAAGCAAACTGCAATGTAACAGACAGCAAATTACACAACCAGAAGCAAACTCGTGCCTCGGTTGCTGGCCCCAACACCCCACTTCCCTGGAGGCTTGCAGGAAGACAGCCTTCTCCACACACAAAAAACAGAGCTGGGAAGGGGCTATTTTTAACCCAAATAAATTACACATCCTTGTTCTCCCACTGCTGCATCTCTCTTTCTGATGACTTACTGATATGAGTCACATCTTTCAGAGACATGACTAGCAATACTTGCTACATGAGACACTGACAGACTACAGTTCTCCAGAATATTAGTTACAGCGTAGGCCTTACTTCAGCTCTACGGAAAGCGTCAAATGGCGGTCAGTAGAGGAACTCCTCTCCCTCTTTCCTCACCTTCCACACTTTTATTTAAAAACAATAATGCAGTATTATAAAACAGACTCATTAGACTTCAGATTTAAATTAATGAGATACGCGTGTTCACATCATTTTGAAAGCATGTCCATTGGGCTGTTTTCAAGCAGACAGCCATTTACCTTGGAAGATCTTTTAAAGATTGGACAGTGATACCTACTGGTACTGCCCACTCTTAGAAAGATAGTTCTGATCTTCAGCTCTTTTCTATGGGCATCTGTAATTCAAATGAATGAATTCTATTCAAGCTTACAGGTCTCAGCAATAATTAATCTAAGTATCACCAAAATGACTGGGATTAAGAGAGTGTCCTCCAGTGGCACCGTGTATAGTCTACTGTAAACTCCAAGGGCTACCTGGGAACAGGACACAATTCAAGTACTTGCTGTTACTCAGTGGCATAACCAGCAGTAAAATTAGAGACTTTATCCCAGCAGCGATACTTCAAAAAGCAACAGGAAATGGTTCTGGAAAAGATGCCATTTATTACGTCAAAGGCAGTTGTGCTAATGTAGCCCATACAATTTCCCAATAAAGAAGGGTAGTTCTTAAGAGTGTACTCAGCGTTACCCCAGCATTTATCACACATCGATATCGTACCACTTCCAGTTTTCACTCATCTCCTTAATATGCCTCTATCTCACAAACACTGAGAATTTCATCCTAAACAGCCCCACGTGTCAAGGTAAGAGACAGAAAGCCAAAGCCATGCAGAGGCCTGACAAACAGGAAGCCTGGGATAGAAGGAAGAAGGGAATCTAAGCATTAGTACTGTTACCTAATACCTAGCACCTTAACCAGAAGGCAGCTGTCTTTCCCTCAAGGCACACATTTATACCAGAGTACTAGATGGGGAGAGAAGGCAGCGTAAATCAGCGTGGAGAAGAGTCTAGATTCTGTGCAAATTACCTTTTTCTAATTCAGACACCCTTTCTAGCAATGCATTCAAGGCTGTCTCTGTCTTCTGCCGATGGGCCGATGTCTCATTATGAAGCAAAGATTTTTCATCCTCAAGCTCAGCCACCTTGCTCAGCAGCTGGCGTTCCAGGTCTCCAAGCCTCCGCTGGAGCATCTCCCGCAGGTCATTGGGCAGCGCCGCGTACGACACGTTGGCTCTGAGCTGGTGCTTCAGGGGAAAGAAGGAAAAAACATCGTTGTTTCTCAAACAGAAAGTTGAATGTGGATACGTTTCTGACTCGGGGGGGAAGGCAGGATCACTGAGCTCTCCAGCAAGCACAAAAGAGGCATTGCTTTTTAGCGCTTGTCAAGTTCAGTGCTTTTATCAGCACTGTAGCAAAACACGTCCTGAAACAGAAAGGCACTTTTGTAAGAGGTTTCCTGCATTTCATATGAAGGAACCCCTTCGTACCTTCAAGTTAAGAGAAATCAGTGTAGGAGAGCAGGTCTGATGCATTTCCATTAATATGGGTATACGTGGCATATTACTCAGTCTTTCCTTTTCTCACTGCGAATGATGTTGCCAAACAGAAGAACTATTATTTAAACTAAAAAGTTAAAGTACTCAAGTTCCCTCAGTTTCAGTTTGCAGAGCATGGAGTCGGATGCTCTTCAGCCCAGCTATAGATACTAAGAGTGAAAAAATTATCTAAACCACAACCCAGAAAACCAACATGTTAAATAGCGCTGGGATCTCAGATAGCCTACAGCTCCACTGCCTCCTACTCCAGCGGTGTTTCCCTTCTGCAGCCCTAAGAACATAACGGCAGCACGAGGCGCCCCGAGAAGCCGGCAGCTTTCCAGAGGGTCGTTACACAACCACATCGCTCCGAACTGCATGTGACAGTCCGCTGCTCGCACCTCACAGAGTAACGCCAAAGCAGCCGCTCTCCATCCCCCCGGGCATCGGCGAAACCCTGAGGACGGCCGGAGGAGCACAGCGCCCAGCGCCGCTCCCGTAGGGAATCGATTATTCTCACACGCACCGCTCAGCCGCTGCCCGGAGGTCTCGACAACCCTCCGGAGTAGGGAAGGAGTTCCCCCTTTCAGTCTAGGGCACCAGGCGCGTTCTTTCTATCCAACATCAGCCCTAAATACATCACCCGTCCCCATGCCAGCCCCGACAGTGTCCCCGTCACCGCACCCCGAGCCCCATCGAGTCACGTCCCCCAAAAGAAGAGGTTTAGGCGCGAGCACGGGAACCGAGGCAAGAAAACCGTGCCCCATCCGCGCACAACGGAGGCACGCGCTGGCGGAGCAGCCCTCAGAGCGGTGCCGAGAAGCAGAGCCCCGCGCAGCGCGCCGGCCGGGAGGAGAGCTCGGAGCCGAGCGGGGCAGCCGTACCTCCAGGCTCTCCAGGCGGTCCTTGAGGGTCTGCATGGTGCGGCTCAGCTGGTCGATGACCTGCGCCGGGTCCCGCGGCAGGTCGCCCATCGTGTCCTTGCCCTTCTCCTTCTTCCACGGCCCCTTGCCGTCGGTCACCTCGCAACGGCTCAGCTTACCGGTGAGCTCGCGGATGGCCTCCCGCTGGCTGCCGATGGTCTCCTTCTGCTGCAAGACCGTCTCCCGCAGCTGCAGCACGGTGGCCTTCAGCTCCTCCTCGGGGGCCGGCGAGCCGCCCTGAGCGGGCACGGGGGGCAGCGGGCAGCCGGCGCCGGCGGCGTCCAACGGCAGCGAGGTGCAGACGAAGCGGCTGCCCGGAGGGCTCTCCCGCTCCATCGCCGCCCCTCGGCCGCCCGCGGCCACGACGAGCAGCAGCCCGGCGACTACGGGCAGCATCCCGGCAGCCGCGCGGAGTGACGGCGGGGCGGCGACGGCGGGACGGGGACAGCAGCCGATCCCGCCGCGCTGCCGGGAGCCGCCCGGCCCGTCCCCTCGCGCTCCTCGCGCGGCTCTCGCGCCGCCGCCGGCCCGCGGCTCTTATAGGCGGGGCGGGCGCGCGGGGGCTCGCGCCGGTTGGCTGGGGCCTCCGCTGACGCCGCCCGGTCCCGAGGCTGAGAGGGGGCACCGAGTGCCCACCGCCCGCCACGAGCCCAGCGGGACGCCGGGAGCGCGGAGCGGCGCTCGGCTCTTACAACGGGGAGAAAAAGGGACCGGGGCGTTTCAAGAAGGAGCGTCAGAAATTTCTGTGGAGGATCGTAAGAGCGCCGCGGGTTTCGCTCTATCGCTCGTGGCATCTAATAGTTTGGAGCGTAATTATTTACCATTTCTGCCCACCCGAGGACGTAGCACGCCGCCGGCCGCCAGCAGGCAGGGCAGCACGGCTCCCGCACACACGGGCTGCGCTCTGGCCGCCCCCGAGTACGATTTCTCATTTGGGGCAAGTTTACAGGTGGACACTGAGGACATTTTACCACGGAGCAAATAATTACTATATATTACTTGATTAGCGATTAATAAAACCGAGGAATAATATATCATAAAAAACCCAGGTGCCCGCGTGAATTACTTGATGTTACAGAGCCTGCAGAGCTGCACGTCAGCCACAGGTACCACACTCGCTCCCTGCAGCCCGGCTGGTCTGCTCACACCCTCCAGCAACACCCCGCATGGAAGCTGCATTACTCAGAGCTGACGGCAGCCAGTAAGTCACAGCAGGGAGAGATGCAGCTCACATGGCTTACTCAGGGAGAGAATACAGAGGATGTGTAACAGGAGAGCGGAGGCTCCAATTTCTGCCTGAACTCCTCATTGCATTTCAACTGAATCTTCACCCTCCTGATCCAGATTTTTAAGCTCATCTCACACAGAGGTGTCCCCAAGCAAAGATTTTGGCTCAGTGCTTAACTAATAAAGGCACTGTTCCTTTGGAGTTTCAAGCAGCATATAGACTGCTTAATCAGAGATTGTCCTAATCTCTAATTTAGGCAATCTGAGAAGTAACTGAAACAGCAGCAGGCAATACACAACTGATTTCCAGAGGTCTATACAGTATATGGCAGTAAACTGCTTACGAAAGGTTTTATCCTTTATTACAGCACTGCTTTCATGTTGGCAGACAAGGACAGTAAAATGGAAAGAACCACAACAGAGATTCAGGAACATCAGTGAGCTGAGATGGTGAGCGTGGAGGCAGGGTGGGCAGACACAGAGATGCAGCTCCTCCTCACCTTCAGCAGCCCCACGATTTTTCCCGTGACATTTCATGATCTCAACACCACCCCAGTCACCTACTGCTCCTCACTTACTGACATCGACACCTACAAGTAGTGCAGGTATTAATTTATGAAAACATCCCTTGTCATCATAGCCAGTTTTTTTTTTGTTGTTGTTGTTATTTTTTTTTTTTTTTAAACTGCTGAAGGCCACATCAATCTTCATTTTGAGTGACTAATATGCAGCAGTACGTTATCATAAAGCATACAAAAAAAAAAAAGGAGAAAACCCGTCATCTTAATATATTACAAGCTAAGGAATAAGTAAATTGAATATCTGCTAATTGGAGAGGTTAAAAAAAAGCTGCAAGAATGTTGTTTCTCTTTCCTTACATTCAGGCCCAACATCTCATAGGCACAATGGCCACACTTCCCTGTGGTACAGAAGCTGACTCGGGTAAAGGCAGAAGCACAAGAGAGCAAATAGATACTGCTGCAGTTTAAACTCCCTGGCTCTGGGGCTGTCAGGCAGCCCAGCGTCTCTGCAGCCACAGAATGGATTTTTAATTTTTAATTTAACTTTGACAGTTTCCACTGCCATCAGAAGGGCTTTATTCTCTTTAGATACAGCATTTGCATGCTAGCAATCTTCGATGCACAACTGTTGTAATTCATACTTGAAATTTAATACGTATGTAACGTGCAGCTGGACTCTCAGTAGCAGAAACCTGTGGTGTTCAGGATGCAGGTCTGGAACTCAGCAGATCCGACATGAAACTCTGCTAACACACTTCCATCTGCTATAAGTAAGCCAAATCACTAACACAATCTCACAGAAACTTCCAAATGAATTTGAAGGTGTGCCACATTTTTAAAGGTGCCCTCGGCACATTCAAGGCAGCATTCAGATCACTTCAGATGGCAGACAGGACTCTCGTTTTCTGATACTTTGGTTTTGTTTCGTGCATCATTGCCAGACGTTCAGTGGAAATAGCATCCTAGCAACCTCAAAGGCTCTAAGTTCAGCTGAGCCCACACCTTTTTAGATGTGACTTACAAGTTCATGTTTTATTGTAGTGGAAGTAAGCACCTAACTGCCTAGTGAAATCCTCAGTAACACTAGACGTTCAATCTCTGCTGGTAAGTACCTAAGTGCTAATGCCTTGCCCCAAGGAATTTATGAAGAAATTATCTTTAGTTTCTCTATGACTCTTTGAAAAATAGTCATCTCTCTCAATGTTCATGGTTTTAAAAGTGTAGACTAATTGCTTTTGTCTGCTTTTGTCTGCCTAGCCTGAGAGCAGAAGAGGAGCCCACACTAACCACGCTAGCAGACGTTTGTTGTAGCATTCTGCATGCCACCAGCAGTGATCTCAAAGAAATAATTAACAAGCAAATCTGTCCTTTCATCTTGCACACTGTGTCATTAAGAACACTCCTATCAAAAAAGACTGACTTCATTTGTATGAAAACCCCAGCAAAACTGCAGAGCAGTGCACCAGCAATGACAACTGAAGTTATGAACGCTGTTCAGCATTCGTCTTAATGTTTGCAGAATAAATCAGAGATACGAACAGAGTCTTTATCTACTTCATCTACATCTAGCAGCAGAAAAATCTCCTGGCTGGTAGCTGGAGATCTGCCACCAAACTGAATTCAAATCCAACTAAGTATCTCTTCAGGGATTTTGCATCAGAAAATAAGGGAGGGGAGGGGGAAACAGCTCATGAACCAGTTACCAGGAGATAAGAACCTGGCTACAGAAGTTACCAGCCACAACACCTCAGGATACTGCAGTGAGAGGATTCTGTTCAACAGACTTCAGATGTTCTTCGTATTCCCATCTTACAAAGCTTCTGTGGATAAAATCCAAGCAGAACATTAGAAGAAACCGATCATTATGAGACACACTCTCTTATTCTTTCCATTTCCTAAGCTGTTCTATGAAAATCATAAATGAAAACTGTATTCCCTTTTAACTCAACAGGACTTTTTGCCATTGATCTGAACCAATTCAGCTTTTCTCTAGATCATCTGAACGATGCAATACCTTTCTGAGAATCATTAGGACAAGCTTCCTTCTGGCAGAGGGAGAACAGAACGTACCCTAGAGGTGATCGCTGTAAATACTGACTTTGTCAGAGAGATCGCTGCAGGAACTTTCTAAGAACACGAGACACTTAAAAAGATCTCGCTGCCTCTAGCATTCCCCTGTGCTGCTGGTGACAAAGGACAGACACAGCAGACCTTTCTGGGAACGCACACGAGCTGTCGCACTGCGATACTAATCGCCGACCAGGAGAACAGCGGGTCAGCTTCTGCAGGGCCTGTTATCTTCCTGGTGCTCTGCAGGCATTTAGCCATAAATACCAAGCTCACAAATACATTTCAGCAGTGAAATAGGTTACCCACGTGGAGAGCAAGCCCAGAGACCTTCACTGCTCTCTATTACTCAATACTTAAGAACACAGATCCTCCTCAGGTTGAAAGAATTCTGCCCAATTCAAAGCACAATGCAGAACACATACACATACAGGATTTGGCTAGGGATATGCAGAATATATATTAATAGATCATAAAACCCACATACAGGCAAACATTGAATACTTCCACATGTTCAGAACTGCATATTTGTTGTTCAAGGTTCCTCTCAAAGCTGACAGTCTGTATTAATTTGATTTTGCAAAATAAGATACAACTGTGAGAAGACCAAGCACTGTGCTCCTGTCAGCACTGATTGAGATGCTCCTCCTCTCACCTGCCAACAGCAGCAGCTCCAGCAGGGCCTGCAGCCTGCTGCACAGACCTACGGCACACATTACCAGCTTCACTGCAGGTGTCACAGTGCTGTGCCCAGGAGCAGGGTAAGTTACCTCCTGTTACATCTCCAAGAGCTGCCATATGGATAATTTTACAGGCTGCTCCTGGGCCTGCCTCAGTGGGTTCCTACAGACAATGAACTTCTGCTAGCCCCTCCAAATCCAATCAGACTGCTAACCTGAAACTGGTCTCCCTGTTGCTGGCAGGGAAACTGTGTCCTTTCACCAGGTGCCTCACTGCTATGATGGCATCAGAACACCTTTTTTCTTTCTGTGGTACAGGTGCACGAACAACAAACACACGTCTGTATCAGTCCATATAGCACGTGTGTATCAGACGCAGCAGCACACTCAAAAATGTATATTAAACATATTTTTGAAGTCATCACACCAGAAATATACACGTGGATTCAGAACCAGAATGCATGGAACAGAACGTAATGTACCCACCTGGTGGCAGAGAAAGAAAAGAATACATGAGAGATGAGAGATCTGGGACAAAAGGCAGAACGACTCGCAGTGCCTTTCCATTACAGAACATTACTATAGGAGAAGCTGGGTCTTTCATGTCAGTCAGTTAGCTTTTCAATTCTGTCAGAAGCAGAGTGATAACCTTGAATTCTCTCCACAGGGATTTCCCTCCTCCTCACACAGTTTTGTGTCCAATTCTGAGGCTGACAATTAGAAATGCTATTTTGTCCTGACCCATGTGACATCTGAAATGCCAAAGCACCCGGTGTTCAGAGATGATGTTAAGGCACCTCAATAGGTTTCATCTCAAGTTCTAATGAGTGTGACAAAGTAATGATCCATGGAGAGTTTCCATAGAGCTTCTGTAGAGAAAAAAAACAACACATCACCTGTG